TTGTGTAATTATTACATTGTTCGTATTGTGGGACTTTACCTCTCGTCGGTTTTTAGCTGGTAAAATATATAAACCAAAAAGTTCCATATTTATTTTGAGTGTTGTATGCTTATGCAACTCATTTTCAATTACGTTTATGGAGTCCTGTGCCACATTATTCATATATTCAGTAACGTTCAAAGTCTCTATGCTAGCGGTTATTTGATAACTAACTATTCTACCTCGGAATGCACTTCGACATACTGACACATTATTTTGTAAAGGTCTCCATAGATGTGCCTTATGTTTAATGCTTTTCAGATGTGCCGCATGTGCATTCCTCGATACCTCACAGCTGCAACTCTCACAGCGAATTGTCCTGCTACCCGCACTCGCTTGTGAATCGTTGCCGGTGGTTGAACTCTCTCGACTTGCGCCCGGCACTACGACGTCGGATGGTGTAGGACTCATTCGACTGGTTCCAGGCACTGCGACGGGGGGTGTTGCAGGGTTCACTCGTCTAATGTTTACACCTGCGGCTGTCTGGGTGATGAAATCTGCAATAGTTGGCTCATTGTTAGTAATCTCACCCTCCATACGTTGTTGCTTGGAAGGTCTTTTCTCGCTTATGCAGACCTCTCTAAGATGTCGCAGTAAATTATGGCGTGCTGAGAAGGTGTGCTGACATCGAAAACATTGCAACTTGTCTGCAGTGCGGCGCGAAGAGGATGCATTACTGTCCTCGAGACTTGGGGATTGGGGAATGCTGGAGGTACCACCTTCCTGGTTAAAGGATGCTGAAACAGATAATTCTGTTAGTGATTTTATTCGATTTTATTTTCTAATTGTTCAATACCTGTTCCATCTCGAAGACAGATGCGCTTCGATGCTGGCTCACCATCTTGGCTGCACCGCTCTCTACCGTGCTTCAACAAATTTTTTCTCGCCGTGAAGGTCCTTTCGCACTTTAGACATTGGAACATCGTGAAGCGTGTACGTATTTACTCTGTTCCTGCAACAAAATCATTATATATATATATATATATATATATATATTCGGCTGCGCTTAGCGTTATCCAGTGTGGCCACGGGGAGGCGGCAGCCACCACACCATCTTCTGGATCTGCTTATGTCGCATCTGAAACAAAAAAATATTTTAGCTGCTGTACGTTGTTTTGAACCCTTTGCATGTTTTTTTTGTCACACCTCTACATGTCTACCGGTATGTAGTACCTTAACATCAGCAGATCCAGCGCCTCAATATGCACATTCTGTAGTTGATGCCCATTGCGAAACCAGTTCATCCCTCTTAACTTAACTGTCCCTTCACTGTCTAGCCCCCTCCTCATTCGCAGCCCGTTCGAGTTGCGTGAGCGGCAATTCTTCGATCCACGTATCCTGATTTAGTTCCATCGCGATCTGTTGAAGTTGTGCCAACGGTTCTCTCAACTCGACGTCGCGCGCACACGCGGTCCGTTCAAGTTGCGTGAACGGCAAATCTTCAATCCACGTATCCCGATTGAGTTCCATCGCGATCTGTTGAAGTTGTGCCAACGGTTCTCTCAACTCGACGTCGCGCGCACACGCGGCCCGTTCAAGTTGCGTGAACGGCAAATCTTCGATCCACGTGTGGCGATATAGTTCCTCGTCCGCACCATACCGTTCACTCGCGACCGCGGCAGACATCAACGACTCTTGGGGTGTCGAAGTGGCTCTGGACGTGGACGGCCTCGACTCCGCTCCCAACAAACTCAGTTCCAATGATGGCCAAGCATTGTACGCATCCATCATTGTTGCACTGTCCAGGTCCGGATTGAGGGATGCTAACAATGCCTCAATGTTGATGTCGCCATCATCGTTCGACACATTTTGTCCGTCGGCGATAAAATTGTTAAGCATGGTTTGCGAGCCCATGCTAACAATTTCCACGGATACATCATTCGCCGAAGTACTAGGCATCGAAGCGCGAACGGTTTCAAGTGGTGGCACAACCTGAACATTTTGTAGTATACGTACAACTTGGGGCTTCAACAGTTTTTCTAGAATTGGTCGCTGACTATCGGAGAATGTGCAGTACTTGCACTGCTTTCCAGGCGCACACAGACACTCTCTTGAGCACATTTTGGCAACCTAACACAGAAAACAATTTTATAATATACTATTTTACTGATGCGTCCAATATGGAGCGTTTAGACTGCAGTGACGGTGTGCACCATCGACACTGATATAAATACATGTCCCTCCTACCCACCTTTCACGACTTTCTACCTTCGCGATATCTACCATCTGCCTTTTAATTAACAGTCAAAATTTATTACCCCATAATCGTTTATGCTCGATTTTACATTTCACAACATCCCATAATTATACTTTCGCGACCTCGATTTTCCACCATCTGGCAACGGAGGGTCGACCTTGCGCTACCTTCGCGATATCTACCATCTGCCTTTTAATTAACAGTCAAAATTTATTACCCCATAATCGTTTATGCTCGATTTTACATTTCACAACATCCCATAATTATACTTTCGCGACCTCGATTTTCCACCATCTGGCAACGGAGGAGGGGAGCATCTATATCTATTCACTCTGGTCTCCTTTCCATTCCTTCGCGTCTCAGTCATCGTCATGGATGGTCGCGATCAAGATGATCTGTATGTCTTCCATGAAGATGGCTGGGCTAGTCCGCTCAGTTTTGACAGCACAGAATCCACATTGATTTTATTCAATGCGGGAGGTGTTGCACCCGATGTCGGTAATGCTCTGTTAGCAGACGTAGCCGACATCGAGTCTGACGAGGAAACTGAGGCTGAAGATGCGGAGGAGGCACCTTCGTCAGAGAGTGAGTCGGAAGGTGAATTGGAGATTGAAGATCTCCATAACAACCTTGCTCCTCTTGACGAACCACTCGAGGTTGACATTCCAGAAGCACTTCGGATTGACAATCTCGTATGGGATCTCGATGATCCATCCACAGATTCAGGGTATACCAGTCCTTAATCATGGATGGATCGTTATGCATTTTAGTTTTAAGGAATTATGTCTAAGATTTTATTTGTAAGGTTGTAGGCTTTAAGGTTTCTGTGAAACATATAAATAAAAAATAAAAACACTAGAACCATTAACTATCTATTCGTTAGCCGTAAGACCATAAACCCAAACCCAATAAAAGAGTTTACAACATCTATGCATTCTTATTATTATTACATTAATTTCATGTTCATAAACTTATTTTAAAAATTTTAAAATTTTCTTTAACGCGTCATTTACACCCACATCATTGTCTCTAATGACTTTATGCTTTTGTTGTATTATTGTTTATGTCTTCCAATTACTGATACCCTCGATTTCTATAAGTATTTTACAGAAATGGCTTAGTTAATGTTAGGGGTATAATACCCCTATATCTTTTTCCCTGGTGATATTACAAGAATTTGTTATTAGCATTTCCATCTCTATATTACCACTCCATTCCATTTCACTACATACTTTTATGAAATTATACCATCTAGGTTAGGGGTAATTCACCCTTATATCTGTTTTCCTGGTGATACTATAACGTTTTGTTATTAGCATTTATGTCTCTTTATAATCCCTGTAATCCATTTCACTACATACTGTTATGAAATTTTATCTTTCATGTTAGGGGTACTTCACCCCTATATCTTCGTTACTACCCTCCCTACACAAAAACTTCATGAGAACAAATAGGTCCCTTGTACTAGCTGTCTTCATTCCCATACTTTTTTTTGTTATTATTTAAAAAAAAAATTGTCAAAACTCCACGTATCCTGATTTAGTTCCATCGCGATCTGTTGAAGTTGTGCCAACGGTTCTCTCAACTCGACGTCGCGCGCACACGCGGTCCGTTCAAGTTGCGTGAACGGCAAATCTTCAATCCACGTATCCCGATTGAGTTCCATCGCGATCTGTTGAAGTTGTGCCAACGGTTCTCTCAACTCGACGTCGCGCGCACACGCGGCCCGTTCAAGTTGCGTGAACGGCAAATCTTCGATCCACGTGTGGCGATATAGTTCCTCGTCCGCACCATACCGTTCACTCGCGACCGCGGCAGACATCAACGACTCTTGGGGTGTCGAAGTGGCTCTGGACGTGGACGGCCTCGACTCCGCTCCCAACAAACTCAGTTCCAATGATGGCCAAGCATTGTACGCATCCATCATTGTTGCACTGTCCAGGTCCGGATTGAGGGATGCTAACAATGCCTCAATGTTGATGTCGCCATCATCGTTCGACACATTTTGTCCGTCGGCGATAAAATTGTTAAGCATGGTTTGCGAGCCCATGCTAACAATTTCCACGGATACATCATTCGCCGAAGTACTAGGCATCGAAGCGCGAACGGTTTCAAGTGGTGGCACAACCTGAACATTTTGTAGTATACGTACAACTTGGGGCTTCAACAGTTTTTCTAGAATTGGTCGCTGACTATCGGAGAATGTGCAGTACTTGCACTGCTTTCCAGGCGCACACAGACACTCTCTTGAGCACATTTTGGCAACCTAACACAGAAAACAATTTTATAATATACTATTTTACTGATGCGTCCAATATGGAGCGTTTAGACTGCAGTGACGGTGTGCACCATCGACACTGATATAAATACATGTCCCTCCTACCCACCTTTCACGACTTTCTACCTTCGCGATATCTACCATCTGCCTTTTAATTAACAGTCAAAATTTATTACCCCATAATCGTTTATGCTCGATTTTACATTTCACAACATCCCATAATTATACTTTCGCGACCTCGATTTTCCACCATCTGGCAACGGAGGGTCGACCTTGCGCTACCTTCGCGATATCTACCATCTGCCTTTTAATTAACAGTCAAAATTTATTACCCCATAATCGTTTATGCTCGATTTTACATTTCACAACATCCCATAATTATACTTTCGCGACCTCGATTTTCCACCATCTGGCAACGGAGGAGGGGAGCATCTATATCTATTCACTCTGGTCTCCTTTCCATTCCTTCGCGTCTCAGTCATCGTCATGGATGGTCGCGATCAAGATGATCTGTATGTCTTCCATGAAGATGGCTGGGCTAGTCCGCTCAGTTTTGACAGCACAGAATCCACATTGATTTTATTCAATGCGGGAGGTGTTGCACCCGATGTCGGTAATGCTCTGTTAGCAGACGTAGCCGACATCGAGTCTGACGAGGAAACTGAGGCTGAAGATGCGGAGGAGGCACCTTCGTCAGAGAGTGAGTCGGAAGGTGAATTGGAGATTGAAGATCTCCATAACAACCTTGCTCCTCTTGACGAACCACTCGAGGTTGACATTCCAGAAGCACTTCGGATTGACAATCTCGTATGGGATCTCGATGATCCATCCACAGATTCAGGGTATACCAGTCCTTAATCATGGATGGATCGTTATGCATTTTAGTTTTAAGGAATTATGTCTAAGATTTTATTTGTAAGGTTGTAGGCTTTAAGGTTTCTGTGAAACATATAAATAAAAAATAAAAACACTAGAACCATTAACTATCTATTCGTTAGCCGTAAGACCATAAACCCAAACCCAATAAAAGAGTTTACAACATCTATGCATTCTTATTATTATTACATTAATTTCATGTTCATAAACTTATTTTAAAAATTTTAAAATTTTCTTTAACGCGTCATTTACACCCACATCATTGTCTCTAATGACTTTATGCTTTTGTTGTATTATTGTTTATGTCTTCCAATTACTGATACCCTCGATTTCTATAAGTATTTTACAGAAATGGCTTAGTTAATGTTAGGGGTATAATACCCCTATATCTTTTTCCCTGGTGATATTACAAGAATTTGTTATTAGCATTTCCATCTCTATATTACCACTCCATTCCATTTCACTACATACTTTTATGAAATTATACCATCTAGGTTAGGGGTAATTCACCCTTATATCTGTTTTCCTGGTGATACTATAACGTTTTGTTATTAGCATTTATGTCTCTTTATAATCCCTGTAATCCATTTCACTACATACTGTTATGAAATTTTATCTTTCATGTTAGGGGTACTTCACCCCTATATCTTCGTTACTACCCTCCCTACACAAAAACTTCATGAGAACAAATAGGTCCCTTGTACTAGCTGTCTTCATTCCCATACTTTTTTTTGTTATTATTTAAAAAAAAAATTGTCAAAACTGATTCAAACTGTGCTAAGTCCGCGGACACCAACAAATTTTTGATTCGACATAGACCCTCACCCTCCCCCCTACTCCAGCGGCCACCTGTCTTGTATTTGCATTCCTACACTCAGTATCTTCACTTACCTTATCACACCGCCTGTTTTTCCCTATGACTTCGACACCTTCCTTCTTCGGTAACTATATAGCTGCTTCGCTCCCAACGGACTGTTGTCACACTGACGTACGCTGCTCGATGCTATTCTTCTTTCACAATACAAGCACTTTGCTAGGTGCTTACTATGTACGAGTATGTGCATCTTATTAACATATCCATCATCGTAGATACTAAATAGGGCATACTTTGCTCCTATGATCCACCTTTCACATACTATGGAGCCCATCATGCTCGTACCAATGTAGTAATACTGCTGACAACGTTCTTCGCTCCTTTCCCCCCCTTCGCATAGCTTTCTTGACACACGCTCCATTCTACATATGCATTTCTCACACTTCCTTCATAACTCAATCCGTATGGATAGCGCACTCTATATCCATCTTGCAGTTCACTCCATTTAATTAGAAATCCATTCCCTCCTGACATCACCCCACTGGCTAGTCCTCCTCGTACTCCTACGTTTTCCAAATCTTATGGGGAGTCTAACAAAGACCACATACACTTCTCGTCCTTCTCATTCGTATCGTAAATCCAGCCTATCTTATGGGGACGATGTTGCATACACGTCCCACAATAAACCAGAAATATGCTGCAACAGTACCACCCACACGCCCAGCGCCACCCCTCAGAGTACTTCAACCGTTTCTCCGTTTGACACACTAAGCACCGACTTTTCTTCACTATATTTACCATGCTATTGCAATGCTTGCAACAACTGAACTGCCTCCTCTCCGAGCGCTGCACTAATTTAAACACATATTTCCAAGGTCATACCTTCTACCACTCACGACTTCAAGGTCACATTTCAAGGTCATATTTCAAGGTTATATTTCAAGGCCATATTTCGATTCAAGGTCACATTTCAAGGCTATATTTCAAGGTTGCATTTCAAGGTCATGTTTCAAGGCCATGTTTCAAGGTTACATTTCAAGGTCACATTTCGAGGTTAAATATGCGTTCAAGGTTGGCTCCCAAGGTCGACTCTCAAGGGCGTTCTAGAACATACAAACCCTACCTACTCCCCTTATCACAGCATGATATTGAACAAAGTGCCCAACAATGCATGGACAAAAAAAAATATCCAAGACTGGTTGACAAATCAAAACATACCATTTTTAAACACAATGTTTAAAACAGAGCTATTGAGTATTGTTGCTCGGTACATAATGCTTCTTAATTATATATATTTTGGTCGACAGTTTATATTTCTTTTGTTTATTCCTATTCTTAAAATAACTGCTTTTTTAGAAACAAACCACCTAAAATATACGTGATTGATGAATTGGCGGAACAACATGGGCACAAAGTTCTTCGTCTGCCTCCTTACCATTGTATATTTAACCCTATTGAGTTAATTTGGGGCATAGCAAAAGGTTACTATAACAGACATATTGGTAGAGATGGTAACAGTGAAAAAGACTGTTTGGATATGTGGAACGAGGCTCTACAAACGGTTACCCCAGACATGTGGAAAAATAGTGTTCGACATACTGAGCAAGAAATTTTTAAATGGTATGAAAGAGAACGAATTTTTGATCGACCAGACATCGAACCTTTAATAATCAACTTTGAGAGTGATGAAGATTCAGATTCAGACAGCGCTGAAGAAAGAAACTCCGACTAACTTTATTGTACAGAAAAAGCTTACACCAGTAGCTTACCTAATTTTAGAATGCTTTTTTCTGTATGAATTCTGTAAAATAAATACCATGCATAAAATTTGGAGGACCCCATTTGGATTTTTATTCAGTACCTTTAAGCTATCAATTAAATATGGTAGTTTCATAGTGTCATCTGATCAATAATTGTCATACTTAATGATTATGCAAGTACAGATCTATAATTTTATTATACTATTATTTTTGTTCTCATTTGAGGTTAATATTGCTTATAAACCTAGATATGTAAATAATAAATTTTATTATTTTACAAAAAGTTTGGCAACAATGTAAATTTTTCAACACACCCACCTTGATGACGTGCAGGCCACTTTGTTTGGCGTTGACTTATAAAGAAGTCATAAACGGACAAGGTAACAAAGACGAGCACTGCAACTTTTTACTTATTTTATATAAAGCAATTTAAAAGTATAAAAAAGAAGTGTAGCACAAATACATCTTAATAAAATACTATAACGAATATAAATATTAGAACTAAAGTATTCGCAGCCATTTTTGAAAAACCTCCGGATCACTCTCGGGAAACGATGTCTTTTACTGTGTCTGTTGACACAGTTCGGAACACAGTACTTCTTTGATTTTTGGGCTGGCATGTAATTCTCCATTATGGCGAAAATTATACGATACAAAACTAATCCAAATCCAATTTATAACACCAATAAATCGCTAAAAATTCTAGCGCGCACTGATGGCGGATGGCGCCTTTCAAATTCCCGATGATACAGCGCCCTCTGCAGGTGGCGATTTGAAATAAAAGTGACTTGAGCGCCAGAGTGTGTGCGATCCACACTAAGGCCCGTATCGTCGTAATTGTAGGGCGCCTTTATGGCCTCCTTGATTGTCATAGTTTTCTACTTCTCCGTGTCAGCGCTCTATTTTGAGGTTATGTCACAAACATCTATTTGCATCAGATTGTGCTTGCTTTTGAGTTGCATCATGTTTTATCAGCCTGAAATTTCCTACAATTTAAAAAGAAAACATATCTTCACAATAAGAGAGCGCTGACGCTGACACGGGACAAGTGTAATCTAGAAATTTTTGAAGGAGAGAAAGAAGTATGACAATCAAGGAGGCCATAAAAGCGCCCTACAATAATTGTAGGGACGACTGACGATACGGGCCTTAAGGAGCACACGCACTCTTCATGTATACCTGTCAAGTTTGTCAGTTCACATCATGGATTCTCCTAAAGATGATCTGCTCTTTCTGTCCTTACTTTATGTAATTTTTGCGACACGTAAAAACAGACGGAAGAAACGCAAAAAATGGTGTAAGGAATGGTTGCAGAGAAGAAATAAATTTACCCATATAAATCTCCTTAATGAATTAAGACATGAACCATCTGATTATAACAATTTTCTGCGCATGAACGAATCAGTGTACAACGAGTTGCTGTCACTTGTATCTCCGTTGATGAAGAAGAAAGATACACAGATGAGAACAGCTATATGCCCACACGAAAGACTGACAGCTACTTTGAGATTCTTAGCAACTGGACAACCGTATGAGTGTCTAAAATATTCAACTAGGATTTCACCACAATCTCTTGGACAAATTATTCCTGATACATGTGTGGCCCTGTACAAAGTTCTGCAGAAATACATTAAGGTATGTCCTCTATTTTGTTCTTTTGTATTAAATTTTTAAACTATCAAATAGTATGTTTAACAATAAGACACTATTTTAATAATAATAAGAACGGAAAAAGTGGAAAGTAAACTTTTAATATATTTAAACAAACTTTTTATTTTCATATTTACTCATTCAAAAGTTTCAGTGAAATTTGACAAAAAACTTGATGCTGTTTCTGTATTGTTGTGAGAAGTTGGGTTTTGTTCTTGTTGTGTGAATGGTGCGTGATATTGTGGATTTGGTGTGGGAGATGGTGTGTAATGTTGTGGACTTGGTGTGGTAGATGGTGTGTAATGTTGTGGAATTGGTGTGGGAGATGGTATGTAATGTTGTGGACTTGGTGTGGGAGATGGTGTGTAATGTTGTGGACTTGGTGTGGGAGATGGTGATGGTGTGTAATGTTGTGGACTTGGTGTGGGAGATGGTGTGTAATGTTGTGGACTTGTGAAAGTGGAATTTGGGTAGTTAATAGCGCACATTTCTTCTTCATATAATATGTCGTTAATTTTTTTTTCGAACATGATGTGCAGGCGTTTATCTTTTATGCTCCTCATTTTTATAGCTACTGTTCGCCCCAAGAGCTCGCAACAGTCGATTTGTGATCGCGAACAGTAGACAATATCTCAGCTGATATATCATCATTAGATTTCCTCTTTATACTGGGCCCAGGTCGTGAAATCCCAGCCGATGCCGCAGGTTGATTCGATTCCCGCCGCTCTTCTTGAGAGACAGTGGGTATCAATTGGTTTTCCTCTGGAGATGGGTCATCAATGTTCACCTAAAATCAAAATACAGTTTAATTTTGCCGATTAAAACATTATTTTTATTTTTCAGTTTTCCAATTCTACAGAAAAATGGAAAGAAATATCAAACTACCCACACTGCATAGGCGCCATGGATGGCAAGCATATTGATATAATTCCCCCAAGAAATTCGGGCTCTTATTATTTCAACTACAAAGGAATGGTTCTTCTTGCTATTGTAGATGCAAACTACCGATTTCTCCTTGTGGATTTCGGAACTAATGGCCGCGTATCAGACGGCAGTGTACTCCAAAATACACGTTTATATGAAAAATTAGTGGAGAAAAATCTACATATTCCTCCGCCTGACGACGTAACTGAAAATTTTAAAAATGTCCTCTATGTTTTTGTTGCGGACGATGCATTTCCGCTGACAACTGAAATTTTGAAGCCATTCAGACAGGCATTTCTTAATTCTGCCAAAAAAGAGGCATATAGTTGAAAACGTATTTGGTATTCTTGCATCGAGATTTCGTGTTTTTCATACGGCAATAAATTTAGAACCACAAAATATTGAAAAGGTTGTGATGGCAGCTTGTGCTCTGCATAACTTTTTGATGGCTAAACAGCCTACAGTTTATGCCCCTGCAAATTGTTTGTATCAAGAAAGTGATCAAGATGGAAATATTTTGTCTGTTGGCTGCGATAGTACACAATCTAATATGAACCCACTACAATCTTGTAATCGAGGAAATATTTGTGAAAATGCCAAAGAAGTTAGAGAAAAATTCATGGATTACTTCATGGACGAAGGGAAAGTGCCATGGCAAAATAAACACATATTGAGGAACAACCAGAACTAATGAAATAAAGCGTTGTAGTAAAGTGTGGAAGGCTTTCTAAACTAACACTTTTATTTACCTACCTAAGTAAAAATAAACTCAACTAAACAATTATTTATATACAGATTTAAATAAACATTGTCAAAAATAATATTTATGTTTTCCTTACCTCATCATTGTCCCTTTCAGGAGATAAATTTGAGACCGATGATCTAGGATTATCTTGGTCCTTTATGAAATCAAAAAGTTCGAAGTACCAAAGAGAAGGTTTGTATACATTATCTGCTGAGGCGCCAGATTTCATTGAGGAGTCAATTTTCTTCTGCACCTTTCGAACATTGGATCTCAAACTGTTGATTTTTTTTTAACCAAGGTCTCGTTTGCATCAGGCTCTATTTCCTTCAATTTGTTCACTAGTCTTCTGTATGCAGCATCTCTCTGGTCTCTATTGCGATAGTCATTATCTTTCACTTTCCACAAGCAAGGTTCACTTTTATAAATTTCAATAAAATCACCAAGAACTTCATTATTCCGTTGCGGCATTTTTCAGTATCTACCTAAAACTGATTGTTTTGAAAATTTTACCTGTCCACTTTGTAACGGTATCACCGTCCGATTGTATTTATTAAATCACTTCTCGATTATCATTTCAGAATCGCAATTCATTAATCCCATCTCTAGCTTTTTTACTTCAAAATTTTCCGATTGGAGCCCGCTTGATGAGGAGTTCCTGATCTGCGATCTTCCTCGCGCTTTTTTTTCACTTGAGCCGCCGATCTAGCAAGAGCTAAGAATTTTCTTCTCTGTAGCATGAGGTCACATAGCACCATGTGCTAGAATTTTGTAGAATGTGTGTCCGAATAGGACAAAATGATTGGGGCCACCCCCTTTCTCTTTCCCTTTCCCTTTGTCTTTGACTTTTGCCTTTGCAACTCATGTAGTCTTTGACTTTGCATTGCTTGGCCTATCACTTCACCCATGCATGTGCCTTGGCAGCGCTATCACCTTTAAGTTCAACTTCGCCTACAACTGGTTTTGAAGCCACTATATGTGAGGTCACCCCAGTTATAACTGGGACCTCCACTTCAAGCACCTGGCCATCCTCGCTTCAGTCCGGTCAAAAATGGACCAGCGAAAGATAAGTGTATAGTTTAATAGCAGCGCCAAAGATTTAAAACTTATTTTGTTCTTTAAAATTGTAATGTAATGAAAATGCTTTTTTTGTTAAATAAAATCTGTTAAATTTTTGTGTTCTGTTTATTCTTCTATCCTCTAGCCATGCCATGGTCGACACACAGCTACACGCCTGTAGATGTCTTCATGCCACCGACTGAGCTACCGGAAGCTAATGGTAACCCCCTTTCTGTGATTGTGCAGAAAAGTTGGAATCTTCATTGCATTCCATCTTTTCTGGACTTTTTGCGGAAAGGAAGCGTTACAGCATCAAGGAATTGCTAAAAACTGAGACCTGTTCAGGTTACACCGCCACACACACGTCAAGTCTACTCGCCTGTCAAGCAGAACTGATCGAATTTTCATCAGTTGTCAGGTCGCCTGACAGGCTAGATATTCCCGCCACACACTATAAGGTACACCTGACAGGAGTAACTGTTCAGGCGTACCTGTCAGGTGTACCTGATAGTCTGTGGCCGGCATTAGGAGAGCAAAACATTTGTTGGCAGGAACAGCTTAGTGACGTATCGTGAGTAATCTCGACAAGAAACCCCGATGCGTAATCACGAAGTGTAATAATGACGAGTGATGACGAAGGACATTACCGATTACCCTTCTGGGCTTGTTGTCTTCGTTTTTAAAATAATGTGTTTTTGTGAGTACATGTGGCAAAATCCCTATTTATTTTAGTTTTTTGTTGGATTTGAGGAATTAGAGGTCTTTATGGGTTTTAAAAATCATTTTTGATGGCGTAAATGGGCCACAATTCCGAATCCGACGTCAATTTAGCCATACGATTCAAGCTGGTTCTACTCCACACATTTCTTACTTCAAATTCTGTTCACCACTCTACGATATTTTCCAGCCGTATTTACATTTAGTTTTTAAGTCTATGGATTGTAACCATCGCTGCTTTCAAAGCAGTAAACTTTTCGAACTGTTCAATAGTATTCAATGGAAACTTCAATACAGTACAGAACTACAGGCAACCAGCAATGCAGTAACTGTATAATAAGTTATGTAATAAATCGCTACAGAATTGAACTCGGTATTCAATAAATCTAATATTGTCAACTGTTTCTGACGTAACTAACTATTATCGGCAATAGATACACATAAAACAATAAAGAAGCGAAATACTGCTTTGAAGATACGCAAAAGAATTTTTGTGGCTAAAACCATCAAGAAGTCAACGAACTAAAAGTTCACAGAAATTATCTGCAGTTCAATAATAAATTATGCGTTTTGAAATGCAGGAAATAGAATCTAAATGATTTTGAGAGTAATGCATATGCAAAAAAAGTGTTTGCGATAACATATATCTCTCGGTTGGCTTTCTGCTCTCTCGAACCGTGTACCCACCAGCATTTTCAGTCATAATAATTCACAATTTTTGTCTCACACTTGCATCATGCTATACATTTTCTAGTGCTGTATTTTTCTACATTTGAAATAATTTTTGTTTATATCGAAATTCACATCTAATGAAATAAGGCTTGAAAAATATTTGAGATTATGATAAGACTGTTTGTTCCACTGCTGTCTTGACATTAATATCACACCAACTTCCAAAAGGCTCGAGTCTCGATTTTCAAAACGGCCCAAAACTGAATGTGAGTAGTTAAATGGCTATTTATAACGAAAGATGCGCACAATTGAATTTAGTAGGACACTTGGTGACAAGTGATCTAGATAAAAATTATAAACATATAATGAAAAATTGCCCGATTGCATTTAACAAAGTGTGTGTGATATGAGTTATCAACCTTTGAACAAAGAGCTTAGCCAGCTGGCCAAACTGCACTTTTGCTGAAAATTCATCAATCGGTCATTCAACCTACGATTTGTTTTCATTCACTTTACCATCAGTTCATAAATGATTACTTTCAGCGCAATTTCGATCCTCTGAGAAAAGAGTCAGATACGAACATTACACAACAGAGACATCAAATGGATTAAGTCCATCAAACAACTAGTGCATAGAGATTTCCCTGCCCCGGTAGTTACTGTCCATATACCAATGATGTCTGTCCCTTTCCATATATGCGCGGCATCGTTACCGTTCATTTCGTGCATGGTCCGTGTATGTTGCAGATGTTTTGTGAGCTACACCATGGATAGATTAATCAGCCGGACCGGTTCGCCGGGCGGTGAGTTTGACTGATCGAAAACATTTCTCTATCACTCTAAGATTTAAAGGCAAATGTACGGGGAAATCTGTGATATGTGAAATATGGCTTATAGGTACATCAGAATTACCGGGGCTGAGGGCGTATAATTATACCAAGATTAAAAAATCTTCATACACTCTCCTCTACCCCCTACAATCCATAACCCGCGAATTCCAACCCCTATATATTTTTTTATAAAAACGACCAAGACCCTCTGAAACGTCAAAAAACGAAGTTTGCGCAGTTTTTTTTTATTTCTGGCTTTATCTCCTCCGCCTTCGGACCGATTTAAAAAAATTATAAAGCTTTTTCGTCCTTGTGTGAAAATCCCATCAAAATCCGAGCGGTTCTTCTCAAGCTATAGACGGACCAAGGATTAGTGAACAGACAGACCGACCGAAATGAGTGACATGGTTTTTCGTAATGTCATATAACATCCAAGAAACACAATTTATCATTCTCGACATTTTTCGCGATTACAATACTTCCTCGTCCAGTGGCATGGAAGTAAAATGGTTAATTATGGGAGAGTAAAATATGCTAGAACTTTTATATTAAATATTATTAAGCTAAAATAACAAAATAAACTTAATGGAAGTACTAGGTCGAGTTAAGAAGTATTTATAAAATGATTACAAAAGGAAGCGAAAAATATGTACAATTAAATTATTCCCTACTTATGTCCTAATTAACAAAATGAGCATGAATCAGTTTGATCTGGTATACAAGTGTCTAAAAGGTAACGAAAAATTATAAAAAATCATGTGCCTACCACTTAAATTTGTACTAAAAATAAAATGATAATAAAAGATACAATATTTATCGTTTACATCTACATTGTAGATGCACTTTAGAAGCTTAAAGATAGCTCGCATTTTGTAAAAATGATTTTTTGAAAAATGTAAAAAATGACGTATGACATACTACAGCTTGTGATGAAAACTTAAAAGAATAAAATAAAATATAGTAGAGAAAGGGCGGTAAGGTCAGCAAGTAGTACGTTATAATTTTGTTTGCGCTATTTATAAAATTTTTACAATACAATTTCAAATTGGTATCTTTTGCTAATTATAAGAAATTGAGTATATTCTTCCTAAAAAATGTAAAATGTCATTTGCTATGCAAGACTTGGTAGTACGGAAATCTACCACATTGAAATATTTCTGGACAGTAAAACATACAATTTTATATAATCTGTATAGTAAAAGTGCCTTGCTTGCAAAGATGTAATAAAATTTAAAAGTGAACGTTGTGTTACATTTTAGACACTATACTGTATTTACATGCAAACAACATTAAGATATTGAACAACAGATGTCTCAGTTCACTTCCAAGAATTTCAAATTTAAAGCATACCACTGGCTGGCCTTTTTAAACTTCCACAAAAGTACTCTAATTCGATTGTATAATGAACTATATAAATAAAATCTTGCTCAAAGGTATTCCTGCATCGACCTCCACATCCAAGACAAGTTACTGGTTTAAGGCTCCCTGAGGTATTAAGACAAAGAGAAATATTTCTATTATATTTGAAGACAAAATATTGCTATTCCACGGAAATGGAATTTTTAATACTCATCCCATTCTAGGAACAAATTTTTTATGACCATTGTCTCCTCGAGAATAGAGATCGATACTGCATAATTTTGCAGACATTAGCGTAATACTTCTGAGTGGTGTTGTATAACACGTACACATGTCAATACAGTACCAAAATGGCGTTACTATTTATGTTGAAAATGTGAAAACTGTACTAGAACGTATACAAAATAAACTAGAAAGCATTAAGAACCGACTTATATAAGATGAAATGTTGACTAGGTATCTTAAAAAAATATCTCAACAGGATGCTGCGTATGTCATATCCGTGTCTCAGCCATTTTTTCTACTTGTATCTTGAGTATTATACGATTTCTCTCACTTATAATGTCCATGTATTGGGATTCAAAGGTTTGGTATCTTTATAACTGCAAAATTAGGTGATGTCAAAAAACTTAATCAGAGGGTTTTACGTCTTAAGGGCCCTCGATACACCTCAGAGATAAACTTTTCTCGATTTAGAAATTCCGTATCACGGCAAGGGTTCATTTTAGGGCCCACGTTTATAGGAACCTTCAGTGTTATTTTTGGTACATTTTGCTTAAGTCGACTTCAAACCTTCAAACCTAACGTTACAAGGATACAAGAAAGTATCACCATAGCCTTATGACGGCAAGATAGGCATCATCCTGTATATATTTCTAAACGTAAAACATAAAATTATTGAACACTTTCCACAGCCCAAATATACAGACCTGTACTGGGTGATACATCAAATTTTGGTGCTTTTTCAAATTCAAATGAACCAAATATAATGTAACACCTGTAAACATCTAGAATATTCTGTCAGAACAGGTTTGTCTCATGCCTTATAAAAATTATCGGAAATAAGTTACAAGCAATCACAAAATGTTGTAAACTTAGTCTATACAGAAAATTTCAACTGTGAACACCTTATTTAAATTTTTAATACGAAGATTTTAAATTCATATTGATACATATAGTTATATTATCGCACCCTGTATATGATTCTGTTCTAAATAGGGCGTACAATTGAACTTCTTTGTTTTATTCCAAAGTGACATACAGAACGAGACATTATCGATGAAGAATAAGCTATTTCCGGACTCTGCTATCATCAGCTATTCTCAATTATTTTCAGATTATTTCAAGAATCTAGTTTTTGCTTTGTCATTTTCTTCTTGTTAATGTATTTTTGTCTCCTTCTGTAGATAACAGGCAAGCACTCGATGTAGAAAAGGAAAAAGATAAAAATAAATATTGTAAAATACTAAAGCAGGCTAGGTGGTTAAGTGTTAGTGGAAGAAATTTTGTTCACAATCACACACGCGTGTGAGACGTTACAGATTAAGAAGAACAAGGTGGTAGTTCAAAGTTCATTTTCTTAAAATATACCGAACACATTTTGATGCGGACGCCACTTGTTAGAGTGGAGACGTACTGCATTGAAGCTGGTGGTATCAATCTAGAAAGCTGTGACGCACGATGACACTTCTGTGCTCATGCTGTCATCTGAAACAAAAGAAAAATCGGTTAGACCACTTGATAATTAATTAGTCGCGAATACCAACTCCTTAAAATTGTTTTCTCAGCCAAGTGAAATTGCACATGTTGGTCAATGTAACTCCTGAAACTTATTCTGTGGTTTTGGTGTTCATAGGACTCTATTGTTTGGCTGAATGAAACCACATATATGTTCATTGTACGACGTTCCAACCGCCACGGTGGCCTTCTTTAATGACATTAATGACAGTATATTTGTTTATTTGCCTACCAGGTGATTGATTTTTCTTCTCTTCATTTCGACAAAGAGTGTTGCAACAATGGATTGAACGGTCCTGTAGCATGCCGAGATCGAGATCCTGGGTTTTTCTGGTGTGTGTTGGCAGTGCCATAATCAAATTGTAATGATGGCTTCGCACCACCTCGATATGCTATAGGACCGATCAATCTGTTGTCGTCACACACTGTCCAGGAATGAACAGGAGAAAAATAAATGAACTGTGTCAGCTGGAAGATACAGAAAATATAACGGGTGATTTTTTAAGAGGTATAGGATTTGATTTAAAAGCAAAACACAAAACATTTGAAAAAACGATTAAATCTTTATTTGAGTCGATAGAACGGTCGATATAATTTAATGTTTAAAGATTATTTCATGTAAATGTTCGCCGCGGCTCTGCTTTAGATGGCCCATGCGCAAGGTTCAATTTTGGCACACTCTCTCAACATATCGGCCGGTATCTCACGAATAAATGCTTCAATATTGGCTTCCAGTGCGTCAATCGTTGCTGGTTTATCCCTGTAGACATTAGCCTTAACATGGCCCCACAAGAAATAGTCCAACGGCGTTAAATCACACGATCTAGGCGGCCAATTGATGGGCCCCAAATGTGAGATAAACTGTTTACCGAACTCTCCTCTCAATAGGGCCATTGTTTCGTGTGCAGTGTAGCATGTGGCACCGTCTTGTTGAAACCACATGTCAGCCAAGTCCAGCTCTTCCATTTTGGGCAAAAAAAAAGTTTGTTATCATCTCACGGTAGCGCTCGCCATTCACAGTTACGTTCCGGCCATTGTCGTCTTTGAAGAAGTACGGCCCGCTGATGCCACCGGCCCATAATCCACACCAAAGAGTGATTTTTTCGGGATGCATTGGTAGCTCTTGCAATGCTTCTGGCTGGTCTCCACTCCAGATGCGGCAATTTTGCTTGTTAACGTACCCATTCAACCAGAAATGAGCTTCGTCGCTGAACACAATTTTTCGATAAAAATGTGGATCTTCCTCCAACTTTGCCAGCGCCCATTCACCAAATTGGAAACGTTGTGGAAGGTCGTGTGGCTTCAATTCTTACACCAGCTGTATCTTATAAGGTTTTACACCTAAATCCTGTCGCAAAATTTTCCACGTAGTGGAGAACAGAGGCCCAATTGCTGCGAACGGCGGCGAATCGACATTTCACGGTCATCACTAACACTGGCGGATACAGCCGCAATATTTTCTTCAGTCCTCACTCTACGTCTGCGTGTTGGTGGTTTAATGTCGAATAATGTAAACTGGGTTCTAAATTTAGTCACAAGCTTCCGAATAGCTCCCTCAGTAGGCCGACCAAATTGCCCATAAATTGGAAGCAGTGCTCGATGCACTCTCTTAACCGAGCATGAATTTTGATAGTAAAATTCAATAATTTGCAAGCGTTGTTCGTTCGTAAGTCGATTCATGGTTAAATTATAGACCAAACTGAACAAGTTTGACAATGACACAAGACACGATTCACGCGTCATCTGTTAAAAACAGTGTTGCCAAAAAGATACTAGCAAAAAAATCACCTATTACTTTCATTATTGTCACTGTACTCGAAAAAGGTCACAGTGGTGTTCGAAACGTCGCACAATAAACATGATATTCAAACATAGATCTGGTTTGATTCGGCCAGACATTGGAGTTCTACGCACAAGTTCGATTGACTCTGTATTAATTTCGGCCACCTTGGTAGCCTGATCCAAAGTGTAAATAAAAAAAGTCCGGAACGTTAGTAAACAGTTGATCCAATATTATGTGGTTTCATTTGGCGGTCAGCAAAACATGGAGATATATTAACATGAAAACCACACAATTAGTTTCAGATGTTACATTTTCAACTCCTTATGTAAAAACAATTTCATCACAATCCAATTGTGACTTGCATTTTTTGTATTTTGTATGGTTTCTGGTAATAGAAATATGACAAAAGCATAATTGTAATTTAGTTTTCGATGTTTTAACGCTCGTACATGCACGCATTAAGCTTTATTTAATACAATGAAAGCAGATCTTTGGAAAATTAGGTTGACGTTCGTTGATAGCAATGCATTTGGGAGATAACGCAAATTGGTGTTTAAAATCGTGTTATGAAAAGGATAAGATATTAACAGCGCGTTCATAAATCAAATAATTTTGAAATTTTACATAAAATCTCAAATAGTACTTTTCCATAGCTTCGTAACATACTAGATGCCATTCGAGCTTAGCATTACTTGCAACACAGTGTGCATTCGAAAATCTGAATTAGTTAATTATTGGCTTGGCATCTCCAGTTTTGAAATGCAAAGACATATACTTGTTGACAAAAAAAAATTAACCGACTTTATGTATAACTACAGTATAACTGATTGTGTGTTTTATTAACGTTTTTATAAACGTATTTGAGGGTGCGGGATAGATGCTTAAAGTTTCTGACTTAATACTGTAATCAAAACTAACAAGGAGCTCGGAGAAACTGTGAAATTCGAAGTATGATGAAGTTTTCTCATTTTTTCCGTTTTCTGCTGATAACTCCGCACCAACTTTAAGGAATTTTCGTGGCGTTATCATCTGTTATTATCTTTCATTGTAATGACATAGATATATTGAAGATTGTACCTTTTTCAGAAACGCAGCTATGAGTAATGTAGTAAGTTTTATTTTTTGTTGAAAAGGTTAAAAAACTTAAACCAAAACATTATGGAGGTATGTTGAACTCATAAGCAGATTGTGAAGTTGCATCGTGTAGACTGAGCTTAAGACGAGTCGATTTGTCTCGGGCGGTATTAAAAACCGCAAAAACGCGAAAGGACAACGAGAAATTCGTTTGAACGTGGCGGTGACCGGAGCCTGTCAGAGGGTGATGCAACATACACCCGGACCGAACCGCCATTTACGCTACATACTTTAACACACGATCACATAGCCCGGTAAAATTAAATTACAAATACAGGCTTTTACTTCGGATTTTAACTTGGGGAGCTATAAATCCAACCTACCCGAAATTACTTGCAACTTGTTCTATGAATATTAAGCAACATCAAAAAAGTACCATTAGCTTTTTATACCTATCTTGTTGTGTTTCGCGTCTGTTCCAATATCAAGGTGGATTGTTTAAGTCCTAAAATCAAATGGGACATAAGTAAGACTCGCTTTGACTATTCTAGCCATCTCGGAGTGTCTGTGAATATCAGTCTAGCTTTAAGTGCGAAAAGTTTCATTTTTACTGAAGTGACCACGAAAACATATCTTGAATATACCAAAGTATCGCGACTGGAATCAAAAAGCTGTTTTTAGTGCGATATGCACTACTAGGCCTTTTCTGGTAATCTATTTTACATTCTCAGTGCCCTATGAACAAAGGAGTGGTTATACCAGCCAGTTGTCAATGTACAAATCTCGACATAAAACATAAAGTAGAAGCCTGGAGGGCCCGTCTAGCAGTTCGATAAATTATTACGTAGATATGATCAAGAATGTTTGAGTTACTGAATCGCCCAAAATCACGCCTTGACTTGCAATAAAATACATTTTTCAAATTTTTTCTGTTGCATTGGATTTTTGTAATAATTCAGCTAATTCTACTAAACTAAATGCCCATAAGAGTTCGTTGAACCATGCTTGCGGCAATGTTGATGTATGTAAGGAGCGTGAAAATCGCCGGTAAATGTCAACAAACTGCGAGAAAATTTTTTCCCGCCTTTTTCATCTCGCGCTCGTGGATACCCGGCATTCGAAAGTTGATCCGGGTGTGCCGTCAACGAATCTGGCCCGGAATGTCAAACACCAACCGGAGTTATTGTACGAGTTCAAGGAATTCGAATGGCTGATTGGAGGTACTAACATGTTTGTCATTATTAATCGATGAATGATAGATCAATACAGCAATCTCTTGTCCTTCAAAATCATGAAATATCTAGATCACTTCCTCACACACTTACTCTTTTTGGTTTTTCAAATTCAATTTGAATAAAACAACCGTTTAGTCAATGGTAGTCCGGGAAACAATGTCTCAATATAGAGTCAACTGCCAATCATAACCAGACTGCCAGTTGAACTCGACATATTCCCACCAGTTGCTGAAAGATGCCATCTGTGAATGTCATTATACACTTCATCTAATTTTCTGATGAAACGGCATCAAGTAAGTTGACCCTGTGCTTCCTACGCTACACTGTCATCAATTCGAAAATGATTATGTTTGGCACAAGTTTAAGAAAAAATTAGCTAGGAACAAGTATAACAAACAATTAATTGATCTTCCTCCTACACCTGACGGATTACGATAACCTATTCTGCGTAAATGATGATATTGGCCCAAGCACAGTGCACAAAGCCCACAGCAGATCCCCTGCAATCTCTAACCTCCAATTATTGACCACTACAAAAATGTTTCTGAAAATGATCAAGATTGTCTGAAAAGTCAAAAGAACGAAGTTTGAGCGATTTTTATTTTTTTGTTTTTGGCCTTTTTCCCCACCGTCACTGGACCGATTTTCAAAAACTACAGAGCTGTGGCGTCCTTTGCATAGAAGTAACATTTTATAAAGGTATCATCGAAATCCGAACGGTATTTGTCGGCTATAAGATTACAGTAGGTACAGACCGACACACAGACAGACGGACCGACAAAAAAGATTGACATAGTTTTTCGTGATGTACATGTCATATAACATCTAAAAACATATCTCATTTTCGAAAATTTTCACTATTACAATGCTTCCCACGC